AACCTCACCAGTATAATAAGCACTATTAATAAACAAAGTCCAAGTAGACAATATATATACAGCCAAATACCCTATATTTATAACAAATATCCTATCAGACGAATAAAATGAAGATTCCATTACACAAAATAGTCATAATGTATCTCATAAACACTTTATACAAAATAGAAATATTCCGATTTGAAATCGAGCGGGTCGTAAAGCGTACGATCGTGACAACTCGTCACTCTAGAATAAATTTGAGTTTTACCAAAAAGTCAAAAATATGTATATGACGATGATACATAATGATGGATGGAGTTTGCTTGAAGAGGAGCCTATTCTCCACTCGAACATGTCGGAAATTCGAAGAACAGTTTTCTATAAATGATCATCTACTCTTATAATGTTGCTTGTCTTGTCCTTTTTTTTATATTCTTGTATTGTCCTTACAACAAAAGGTTCGGCTACAAATGTTCTTACATGATGGTTGCCTATCTTATCAATTTTAATGTCATTTTTTTGTCAGCTTATCGATTTTCGATAATTGTAACAAAATGCTTTCGAGCATTTTTGAATACGTAACAAAAATTTTCGAATGGTTTTTCTTATTTAAATCGCTTGTTTATTTAAAATATATTTATCTAGTAAGTTTATATAATATTTTATTTTTTTATATAATTATTTTTATTTATTTAAATCCATTTAAAACATAAATCACTGCGTTTAATTAAATTAGAATTTATGAATAAAAATAAGAGTATGTAAATATATTTTTTTCTTAATATAAAAGGATGTAATCAGTCACGACAACGAATTTATGCTGGAATATGAATTTGTTGTCGTGACATTTTTTAAATTTTATTGAATAGATTACAAGATTTTCTATTCTCCATTCTTTAAATTTGATCAAAAACTGAAATATAGACAGATTAATCAAGATAAAAATATTTGAAAATATGAATTGATTTAAGAATATATTCCTGTTATTTTTATATATTTCAAAACTGTTTTAGATCTAAAATACTTTTATAAAGTTGCTTGTCGTGTTCGTTTTTTTTTTGGTATTATTTTTACAACAAAAAGTTCGAGTACAAATCTTCTTACATGATAAATATCTATCTCCTAGGATATAGAATAGGATGTATAGGATAAATACATATAAATCAGATTCCGGTTAAACATTTAATCATTTCTAAAAATTACTTTGGGGTTAAAAATTGTCAGATAAGTTGCCATTTTATTAAATATAATAATATTATAATACAGAAAAAAATAGTTTTTAGATTATATTGAAAAATGAAATTGCTGGATTCGATGGAAAATTACAAGATTTGGATAGAAGAGTAATAAAACAGACATTTAATCTTATTTTCTAATGCAATAACTCAACAAACAATGTAATAATTGCATTATTTTATATTGAATTTAATGGTAAATTAACTCTAGAAGTTATTTAACATCGATCTGTGGTAAGACCGCTTATATTACTAATTAAATCGATAGAGATTTCCAGTAGGCCCACTACTTTCAATTTTGGTAATTGTGTAGATTGCTTATTAAAGAATTACTGATTACCTCTTTATTGTTGTTTTATTTTTCTTCTCTTGATATTGATGATGTATTAAATAAAATTATCTTATCAAAGTTGTTTTTTTAATATAATTTTGCACATGAAAACTGCAACTGGACATTGTTAAAATAACTTTTATTTTTAAAAATCGAATATATTTTCCAAATAGCTTTTATTTTAAAAAAATATATAGCTTATTATATACAGTATGTAGTAAATCCTATCAATGCCCACAGACTATAAACGAGTTGACCCTTATACGTTTGGTGAATTTAAATGCATTTTATAAGGGAAATTCTATAGCGTGAGCATATAAATTGATATTATATAACATTAGAGAATATAAATATAATTCTATTCGACTGGAAGAGCTATACTATTGTATAATGGCTACATATTTAAGTAACTTTGATAATATTTAAACTAAACACGAACTCATAATGAAATTTAAAGTAATATAATGTTTTCATGCATAAAATGTACGAATTCAAGTGAATTTTAGATCTCCATCGAAGAACAAGTTTGATCTGTGTACATTATTTTCAATATAATGAATCCAAATCGAGAGAGAAACAATCAAGTGATAAGGATTTTTCTCTAAAATTTTTTTTATTATAATTATAATAAAAATATAAACAGTTTATCAATAACAATGTCTTTTAAAAGCTATTTACCTAAATCTATAGAAGTAAAAAATTATTTTTCATATATTTATATTTCGATAAAATAAAATACTGTACTTTATTAGAATAGGCCTATGATTTATATTAATATAAGATAAATATATAATATAAATTTATACTGATTAAATAAGTTTAATTGGATTCCATTGTATTTCATTAGCGAAAGATTTGAAAATACTCCTATTGAAAAAGTTAAACATCCAGATATAAAAAGTCCGATTACTGCAAAAATCGCGTACACCGATGTTTCAGACAGTGTTCACTGTGTTTAGAATTTTCAGTGTATCTGTAATTTAGAAGTCTTCGAAAGTCAGAGGGAAGCAAAATTGCTGTTTTCCTCCATCCGCCGAATTTCTTTTCATCTGGGACGTTCTGACCTTATCGGAGGTATTGAAGGTAGTGAACACGTCAGGATCACATACACGGCTAGAATCTGTCCCCAGACATATCAGCAAGAGAGATGATTGTTTTACAACCAAGAACAATTGCAACAGCTCGTTTGTCCACTATCCACAGTCAGATGAAAGTCTTGCTACAGAATCCTGTCTTTTTCGTATTATTGGGCAAGTGACCAGCAGAGATATTTACATGCAATGGTGCCGTAACAGAGGATCATGGACTGCTTTGGATTCGCAGCATATCGTCTTTAGCAATAAATCCTGGTTCTGTATGGGTTTCGACGGCCACGTGTTAGAGTTTGAATGACCTTTTCAATCCCGCCTTTACTGTTGAACAGCAAACTCTTTTTACTAATGGTGCGCTGGTTTAGGGAACCAGTTCATACAGCCATTTCTTTAGAAATGGCATGAGGGACATTGAATACACAACGATAGATTCAAGAAAATCATGTCTCATGTTTGCATTTCATAGTAAAGCTGCGAACAACCATTTTCCAGCAAGCTAATACTTGCTTCATCCGTCTGATCTTCAGATATGTGCTCATCAAGCAATTGTGGGACCAAATAGGATGCCAGGTTCAGTAATCTATTAGTATGGCAGTTGCAACATCTGTGGGCAAATTTGTTCCAGGATAGCATACGATACCTGTAATTGTGCATGCCGACAGTATTGCCGCACGTATACAGGCAAGAAGAAATCCAGGCAAGGTACTAGAGGTTCGTTTAAAATTGTTCTACAAGTAACTGTTACTTTGGTATTGTATTGTAATCAGTTATTACCATCATCATTACGTTAGCACTGATAAAGTTTAATTCTATTTCAGCTCTTCCTTTGTGCATATTTTTTGTTAATAAGTGTACTTGACGATATTTCGCTAACATTTTCCAAATCTATTTAAAATCTAAAGATTTATATTGTATTATATTAAGGAACTGATTGATTTCATTTTGAAAATAAACTGAAACTTTGAAACAAAATTATGTAATTTATATAAAACTAAAAACGTAAACATTTCCCGAACATTTATCATAATTTGAAAAGATGAACTGTACAGATAAATAGTAACAAAAACTGTGCTTTCCAGAAGATACTTTATTAGTAAATTAATTATTTCAGTATATATAAAGCTTAAAAATAAGCTAAGATACATGTTTACTTATAGATATTTATTTTTTATGATTAAAATAGATAAATGGCCTTTAGTGATATTTGAAATGTTTATTTTTTCCCCTCCTCCCATATCCATTTTTGGCTTTTATCAAAAAGAAATAAAAATAATACGGTAACTAAGCAATACTTATTTCTGGAAACACTCAACTATCACGTAACCATACAACATGACAATTCATAAAATACACCCACTTGTGCGTTGCTACACGCCATCACCATTGTATCAGTTATGAAAGAACTGTGGGATGAGATCGATGCAATATAGTAGCCTAATGGATAATAATAGCGACACGAGCAAGAAATCTTTGACCTTATATTAATTCGAATATCATTACACTAGGCGAATTGCTTCTTCACTAGATGACTTTATGTTACTATTTTTGTGTACGGAATATGATCTGTACTTATCGAGAATAAGATGTTTTAGGACCCATTTAATATTACAATCATTCAAAATAAATACTGTTAAGCTGATCAAATACACTCACACAATGAAAAATGTTACGTGGGTATTTATGTAAACATTTTACGAGTCGATTATTTTCATAATGGTCTCTTGTAAAGGCACATAAAAAAACAGTTTACACTCCGTCTTTTATTATTATTATTATTATTTCCTTTTTTTCTATCTTCTTTCATATGTAAGAAAACTTGTCTATTGCTACCTACGAGGAAAAATACTTCAACATTATCAACACATTGCAGACTCTCATCGATTCTTCGAATGCAACACGTTCATTTATGAATAATTCAAGAGGTTACAGAAAAAACTCGCCGCAATTATGGCAATAGGAGCACGAACTTTCTAAATATTTAGAGATTCTTCGAATTTCAAGTACATAAAATATGTCGGAGGTACAATTTATGACAAATTGGCCACTTTTCAATACGACTCGAGTACTTTTTAAATAATTTTTAAGTACCTGCAAATGAAAACCTTTCTGAAAATACATAATTAAAATCCTAGTTATGTTAACCGCAATTTAATTTAAATATTTTCTAAGCCTTTACCTAAAAAAACGAATCTCAATAAATCAATTTGCTATCATCGTACGTAATTTACACGTAAAAAATGAATTAAACCGTTCCTTTCCGTGAAAAATATACTATACAGATTATATATAAATAAAAAGCTTAATTATTTAATAAGAAATTCACTTAACTTTTGTTGAAACATTTTAAGAAAATCAACTTACCTTCCTATCAGATTTTCTGACGGCTTCATAAATCTTCCAAACCAATTCAGGCCCAGCGCTAGCGATCTGCCGTCCAACATCATAATACTGAGCTATAGGATTGCTCTCCAACGGAGTGGGTGTCGAAGGTTTTAGTTTAGAAAACATGTCTCGCTATCATGCAAAAGCGTCAAACGGATCGGCACGGTCACTTGACCACATTTGTGTTTCTAAGAAAGAAAATAGATACGACAAACTGTCAAGACCAATCTGAAAATATTCCATTCTTAGCTCAGAAAATATCTCATTCAATAAATCGTATTGGAAAAAATTTTCAAAAATAATAACATCGACAAACTGCTATTACGCGCGTGTATTAAACTATAAACTTTAGTTATTTTTCTTTAAAAAATTCAACAGTTATTTATTATTATTTGTTTTTTTTTTTAAAAAAAAACTTTAAAGTTTACTCTTTTCAATCTAAGACAGCTTTCGTTTATGATTCGCCAAATGTCCACAGGCCGAAACATAAAAAAGATATCTAGTGACAACAAGCTAAGAAACAGTACCTCTAGGCAAGCCGACCGTATCCTAATAAGGATAAACTCTACATACGACTCGTCTGGAGTCGTGCAAGATGTGCAATCAATAGTCCGATACGCTAACACTAGAATAAATAACTAGCAAGATTTTTGTTGTGTTTATATTATCGAACAAAACTTTTTGTCATAGAAATGTTAATATACGATTGATAGATTTCCCCTTTCTTCATGTTTTTGATAAGAAGTATTTAAAAAAAACGTGTCGACATTCATGCAAACTAATCTACAAAACATATCTGTTGCATACTTTTACTTATATATATCTTTAGTGTAAATTAATATTTATAAATTAGACTGTAATTTCATTATAAAATTTCAATTTTAGAATTTAAATAAATTACGATTACGTTCGTAATGAAAATTTGTTCTTATTAAAACTGTATCTTGCTTTGATATAGAAATTTGCTTCGCTAACTGTCTTTACCGCGTTTAAATGTAATTCAATTCGGCGGGGATTTTTATTATTAAATACTCAGCTATAGTTTTTCATGCGAATCAAATATTTTGAAAAACTTTCAATATTGAATTTTCACTTAGTTATAGAAAGAATTCTGCATTGCAGAATAGGAGAAAGTTAAATCAATGACAGAATCATATATCAGAACATCAGAATCTCTAACCTGCAATACGTTTTGAAAGTAGCACCCGATTTTTCTTTATATGCAGAGTATAATAGACTTAGTATATTAATAATCAAAAAGAATTCTTTAACTAAATTTTGATTTAAATTAATGCATAAATATTTTACAATCTACTTAAGATTTTATATATAAAATAATTTAATATTCTGATTTTAGAGATGATATTTTTGAAGATACATTTTTATTTCACTTCTAAATAATAATATTTGATTGATTTTCTAACATTAAATTAATTTAGGTTTGTTTCTTCTTTATTTTTTACACCATAAATATGTGATAAAACTAAATATAATAGAATTTTGCTTTTCCTTTTAACGGTAGACATGTTTTTCGAAAACATTACAAAAATAAAATTGAATAACTTTTAACCGTAAGTTTACAGTTAAAAAATTAGATTTAAAATTAAATTATTTATTATTATTTTAAAAATAACTTCATAACAGTAAATTTTTCTATTTTAATTAATAATTAACCAAGGATTTAATCAATTTAATCATTTTCAAAACAATAAAAGATGGTATAAATCCAACACGTCATCCTTCCACCCGTCTTCATTGGATGAAAAGAAAGGAAAAAGCCATAAGTTTATACGAATATCTAATTGAAATAAATAAAATTTTTACAATCTGCCTGTGTGACTTTTATAAAATTAGCAAATCGATATGATTAGGTTAAAAAAAAAGTTGTACTAACTTCGCCATATTGATTTATTTGATAATTACTTTCTGCAGTGAAATTGAAGGAAGGAATTTTACTATAAAAGAATTTTTTCTAAAAGAAGACATTTGATTTTTCTTTGTCTACAAGAAAACCTTTTTGAAAATTACAAAAACTAAAGAAACGAAACAAAAAAATATGTTTAAAATAATATTTATGAAGTGAGCAAATGAAGTTCTAAAACTGTTTAAAATATAATTAAAGCCATTATAAATCTATACTTCATCTCATCCAAGTAAAGATAACTAAATTAAAAAATACATGTTAAAAATTTACACAGTTTATACTAGTCTAACCAATTTCAATGCGGGAGTAAATTTTTTAGTAAGTTGATAAAAGAGACAGAATGTAAAAAAAAACATTTAATATTCTACTTGTAAATAAAAATAATAATTTATTTTAAATATGTTTAATTTGACCATTAATTACCGAAAATTTGTAATATTTCTAAGGATTTTAATGGTATTAACGTAGCACAAAAATTCTTTAACGAATTATTAATTAAACAGCACTCAACTATATTATAATGAACGTTATTGGGCTGTAATTTGAAAAAAAATTGTAGACCTATAAATTTCTACTGTCGTCCGTCTGTCTGTCTTCCGTTAATCTCGAGAACTGTGTCCAATGCACACCGAAAATCACGTTATTTCAATTCAAAAATGTTCACTAAAAGCTGTTAATAGATGACCGTCACGACTCGATTGTTAAAGGAAAAGTATGATGTACAGGGGCAAGCCACTAGTAATTTGAGATGGAGAGCATATATTTTAAATTAAATAAGTAAAAAAATATAATTAAAAGTTGCAGCCCGGCTCGTTTTTCTTACAAGTTTATTATAATAAACATAAAAGTTTGTATAGTATATAGTATAATATATACTACAGTATACTTTTATAGTACTATAGTATAGTATATTATAATAAATATGAATTAGTACAATACTTTTATATCTCCTGCAGAGTAAAGAAATTCGTTATAATTCTTAATCATTATTCACTCAGTCAATATGTCTCTCAAATGAGATAAATTGAATAACTCCGTTCGATCTACTTTATATTGTTTTGTGTTATCATTAATAATAAATAAAGGTTTGATGTTTAATTAATATTACAATATTTCTTAGACATTTATTTATTATAATCACTAATTTATTTAAACATAAAAATTACACTTTATAAATTTGCTTTAAAAAAATCGGTAAAATTACATAAAACAATTCATTAAAAATATGGAAAGACATTGTATTAAAGTTAGAGGAAAATTTAGAAACATAATTTGTTTCTTTCGTTATACTGTATATAGATATTAGGAAACATTTGAAATATCTGAAGTATTTTTACTAATTTCCTGATTAGAATTTTATTAGCATATATTTTTTTTATGTTAACGTTCTATATTAGTAGAGAAAAATCAGCGGAAAATACATTTACTCAAAATGAAACACTTTTTTTTTATTAAATAAATGGGAAAAAACTTAAATTGGTAGGAAAATTATAGAATATTTTTATCATTTATCATCCTCAACTGTTAGAAATCGTCATGTAGAAGACTTATTTTCTACATAAAATAAAAAAGAAAGAAAGAAAGAAAAAATATATATATATACACTCCCTATACAAAGATCTATCGGAGGACAATAAATTTACGAGTTTGGTTAGTCATTTTGAAAAGCGGAACTACCAATTCAATTCTATCCTCGGAGAGAAGAAAAAAATTAATGCACTTTTGTGTGGAAATTTTCCACCAACCCCGACTGAAGTATCATTTTATTTCAAATTCTGCGAAATAAAAGTATCTACTCGAAGAAGAATGGCTTGTTCCTTCACGCGCGTCGAATCAAATTCTTACAGAGCGTTGATCTGTGACAAGACAAGACATTTTATTTATAATAAAAGTAAAAAAAAATGAAAAATACTTCTGGATATGAGATGAGATGAGATGAGATATCCGAAAATATCATATGAAGAATTCGAAATATCTTAAGCGTAAGATTAAACTCTGTTCAATTAACTCGTTGAACTAATTCTTAAGTGAAGCAATTTCCTAAAGCAGAAAGGCATAATTTTCAAGATGGCTTACTGTAATCCCAACAATACGATTTATATCTTTTGTCTTCTGTACGATCTGTATTAGAAATATTCTCTTCCATTTCTATACAATATCCAACTATTTATGATAACAACAACATGAAAAGATTTTAAAATGGAATTCTTATTGATTTATATTAAAAAATTTCCATAAAAATTTAAATATATTATCCATCTGCAGTGAATTTACTAGAATTTATTCAGTTGCAATATACGTAAGCTATTATACAACAAACTAAACTTATCTTTTTTTAGAAAAATATATAAATACAATTTGATTTTTTAAGTCTGGAATTAAAATACTTTTTATTCTTAATATCTAAAGTATTGAATTGTAAACAGGTATTTTAGCAAATTTTATTATTTATTTCAGTATTAATTTGATTCCAGCAGCATAATTTATATATTGATTTCTGGATAGCTTGCATTTACATCTATTGACGTAAATTTAAATTTTATGTAAGATCATTTTTTTGTATATCTTTAATCTTTAACGTAGAGGTAAAAACTTGATGCAAGTATAACTCATTAGTTGAATGTTTCTATTGTCAATTATCTCGATCGAATTAATTTTACTACACTGTCCTAATCCCCTATTATCGACGAGAAATTCTTTCTTTCTTTTTTCAATTTATAAAACAAAAAAATTACTTTGTATAATTAAAAGATAGTAGACAAATTACTTATTTTCAGCTTTAGATACCAGATTTATTAACATTTTTTATTATGTACTCCAGAAAATGAATTAAATGTCACTTATTTCTGCTTTATTATTTTATAAATCACTTAAAACATTTCTGTAAATGATTATAAAATTAATTTATAACCTTTATTTCTTAACCGTGTCATGAATATTTATAAATATTAATTTATTTTTGTAATTGGAATTTTTTTTTCCTATTGTGTTTGCTATATATAAACAGAAATGAAAGTTTATAACATTGACTTCTTTCTATCATTTTTTAATAAAATTAAATTAATTTGTATCTTTACTTTCATTCTCTTTGTACTTATGTAAATATTAAAAATAGAATGCAGAATATTACACTCGGTTCTTGGCATTTCTTATCGCTCTCCTGTGGTTTGTGACTATAAATAAAGTGAAAGTCGGTGTACGTTATTCCAATAGCAGTCTAGGGAGATATTAAATGATGTGGATTGACGATCATTCTCTAA